CTAAGTATTTCATTTTATTGAATTATCAAAAGTAACAGATTTCCTAATTGCCAAACCCAATAATCCTTCACTAATCCCAGGCAGAAGACTGTTCCTTCTTTCTTGAGTTCCATTTCCCAGACTCTAGGTTACAGTTCTTTCTTGGGTCTCTGTCTGCCTCTCCAGGACTCTGGGTTCTCTCCATTTCTCCTGTTCTTTTCTTCATACCATTGACTCATATGAGTGTATCTCATATATCTCATGTACCTTCTCAAGGCTGCTACTAATGTATATATACCACTGATAATTTCCTTTCCTTAACCCTAGTCAGGACATTCCCCAATATACAGGGTTCTCACTATAGCTCCCTATCAAGGATCAGCCAAGGTTCAACTACCCTCTGAAATCCTTTCCCACAGCCCCATAGCAACTGTGCCTCTTCCTGTACTCACATCTATTTCTTGTGAATTCACTCATGTACTTAGTCATGTACTACTCTGTTACAACTCTTGTATTTTTTTTTTTTTTAGAGAGAGAGAGAGAGAATTGTTTAATATTTATTTTTYGGTGGACACAAATCTTTATTTTATTTTTATGTGGTGCTGAGAATGGAACCCACCATCGCGCGCATGCCAGGTGAGCGCATTACCGCTTGAGCCCCAGCCCACAATTCTTGTTTTTTATTGTTAAACTTTTTTTTCTTTTTAGAAATAAACCACATTTATCCAATTAAGTATAATCTTAAGCATAGGAATAATATTTTCTTTGTCCCCAAGAATACTAAAAATGGTTCCTTGAGGTAATGAACCTAAGAGTGATACTTTATAGGACTTGGATCAATACATACAATATATACAAATATTAACATTCTGTCCAGATCACTGGCCCTAGAGGAAAGTTATCTTTGTCATAAAGATGGAAGATAAGGTCAGCATTACAGTGCAAAGTAAGTAAAATTGGGAAGGCTGTCTTCAAGAGCCAGAGGAGAAAATATATGATATATACTCTTATCTGAGTAAAGAAATAAGAGGTCATAATTTTTTATATTAAACTTGATATTCAGCCTGAAAAATTTCTTAGAAATAGTAACCTAGGTTAAATTGGGGGTGGTGACTAAAATTAGAGCTGACAATTAAAATTTATACATTTTTCATCCCTTTATTACTTTACTAATAATAAATAAATTGGGACATAAGCCTAACAGCATTGTTTACAAATTCAAGAAAAGAAAGTGTTAGCCAGGTGCAGTGGCGCATGCCTATAATCCTAGCAGCTCAGGGGGCGGAGGTAGGAGGATTTCAAGTTCAAAGCCAGCCTCAGCAATTTATCGAGGTGCTAAGCAATTCAGTGAGACACTGTGTCTAATAAAAAAATACAAAATACGGATAGGGATGTGGCTCAGTGGTCAAGTGCCTCTGAGCTCAATCCCCAGTATCTCCCCCAAAAAAAGAAAGTGTTATCTATGTACCAGAAAAAAAACAAAGTATAGGATATTAGAATGTTCCCTTATGAGTTTTGTAGGTTGTGCCAATAAACATAATTTAGGACACAAAAATGGAGGAAAAAGTAAATTAACAAGGACAATAAGAAGCCCTCCTACTCATGTTTTTCAAGAAACTTTCCACTGAATTAGTCATTGTTTAAGAGCCTTCAATGTGCCTAGTGCTGTGGTACTAGAATGGATATTCATAACATAGTAAGATAGTGGTGATGATGGAGGAATAAATGAGGTTTGACAACAGTGCATGGGAACAAGTACCTAACCCAAGCCTGCTGGGGGAGTTAGCAAAAGCAAAGTGACATTAATTATTATTTAAGCTGAGGAGTAGGCCAAGCTACATCATGAAAGGCTCCATTTGCCACGGCAGGAACTATAACGAGAGTTTTAAATAACCAAACTTGAAGGATAACTACTAGGAAAATCAAGCATATTTCTGAGGAAGAATGCTTTCTACTACACAGCGAGGCCATACTATCACCCAACTTATCACCCCACATATCACGTTATAGTTAACTAAGTACTTTATGTACCAGGCACTAAGCCAAGCACTGAGAATACAACAGTGAACAAAATAGCCATGAAGCCCTCAACAAGCTTACTGTTTAGGAGCAGGATGGGTTTATAAATATTAATATTTAATTATAACTGAAGAATGCCATAAAGGAAGGCCCCTAATAAAGGAAGAGGTTTTAATATGCTTTATGAAGTATAGGCAAATAATTAGCTGCGTTCCTCCAATAACTTTCAGGATGAATAATGGGTTTATTAAATGTTAAAAGGTCTATAATTCATTTTTACATACTTTGGTTTAGTGAATGTAATGTACATGAATTAATTTTTACTTTGCCCTTGGTGGCAACTAATTAACATTGACAGTTCTTTATTTTTATTTATTTACTTAATTGCAGTATTAGGGATTGAACCCGGGGCCTTTACCACCGAGCTACATCCCCAGTGCTTTTATTTATTTTATATTTGTTATTTATTTACTTTTGTTGTACATAAGATTGAACCCAGGGTGCTGTACTACTAAACTACATCCCTAGCTCCACCTCCCTTCTTTTTTTTTTTTTTCATTTTGAGACAGGTTCTTATTAAGTTGCTGAAGCTGGCCTGAAACTTTTGATCTTCTTGCCTCAGCTTCCGAAGTAGCTGGGATTACAAACAAGCACCACTGCACACAGCTTATTTTTTGAGACAGGGTCTTTATTTGTGGAAGCTGGCCTTAAGCTTGTGATTCTTCCAACTCAGCTTCCTGAGTCACTGGGATACAAGAAAATGCCATCATGCCCCACTTAATTGTTTTTTGGTTGTTGTTTTATTTGTGTGTGGGAGGGTATATCTCCAGTCTTTTTATTTTTTATCTCGTTAAATTGCTCAGGGCCTCACTAATAAACTGCCTTTTTATTTTTTTTGGTACTGGGTATCGAACCCAGGGGGCACTCTATCAGTGAGCCACATTCCCAGCCCTGTTTTGTATTTTAGAGACAGGGTCTCACTGAGTTGCTTAGAACCTCACCATTGCTGAGGCTGGCTTTGAACTTGCAATCCCCGGTCTCAGCCTCGTGTGAGCCACTGGGATCACAGGTGTGCGCCACCGAGCCCTGCTAATAAACTGTATTTTTAAAAATCACATTCTAAGTTGGCATGGTGGCATGCACCTTTAATCCAAGGCACTGAGAAGGCTGAGTTTGAGGCCAATGTCAACAACTTAGAAAGATTCTGTCTTAATACAAAAACAAAAAGGGCTAAGGATGTAATTCAATGGTAGAATGTCCCTGGGCTTAAACCCCAGTATCCCCCCCCACACACAAAAATCACAAATCACATTCTAAGAGTGATTAGTTACTCTTTAAAAGAACTCAAACAGAAGTCCACACTCCAGCCAGGTGCGATGGTGCATGCCTGTAATCCCAGCAGCTTCGGAGACCTTGAGGCAAGAGGATCAATCAGTAGTTCAAAGCCAGCCTCAGCAACTTAGTAAGGCCCTAAGCAACTTAGCAAGACCCTATCTCTAAATAAAAAAGGGCTGGGTATGTGGCTCAGTGGTTGAGCATCCCTGGGTTCAATCCCCAGTGAAGTCCACACTCTAGTGTGCCCTATAAAAAACTCTAAATACCATTTTCTAAATCAGCATTAGAGATCTTATTAATTAGCCTAAGGACATTAGAAATAATTTTTCACTGATGAAATAAGTAGAGTTCCAGCACAGAGATTAATGGGAAATTATATATTAATACTCATACCCTTGTAGAATAAGGTATAGTAATCGGCAGACCCAGAAGCTGACAACCTCTACAGTGGACTCTGTGCTGGCACTTAATATGGATTTTGTATCTAATGCACCTAGAAGGCTAACTTAACTTGAAGTTAGAATAGGGCTGAGTCTGCCTTGAATAGATCTTGCATGCAAGATATTTGTCAGAGTCTCTAAAAAGCAGAAAGTTGAAATTTTAACAAGATTTCAAGAACAAGTTCTACAACTATGTTTGTGCCTGCCTATTAATAAACATATATCTATGAGGTAGATTTTAGTCAGGGACTTGCTTTCATTATATCACCCCAACAGGTAGAAGATATTATAAGAGAATGAATACCAATTGTCAGATGTTCCCTGACAATTATAGACTCTCCAGTTGGTTTGGAAAGGGATTTTCTTTTGTTTTCCCACACCTTTTTTTTCCCCCAAGTGGTGCTTTATAATTCTGCATATGTGAAAAAGTATTTTCTCTTTCATTTTCCTTTTTTTTTTTGGTGTTGGTGTTGGAGATCAAACCAAGGCCTTGGGCATGCTAGACAAGCACTCTACCCTTGAGCTATATCCCCAGTCTTATTCCTCTTATACAGAGTATTTCATGTAACTAGTCATTTTCTAACTTTCCAAAAAGGTAAAAAAACAATTTTAAAAAGCTATTGGGAGCGGGGCGGGGGGGGGGGGTGGGCTGTAGATCAGTGGTAGAGTGCTTGCCTCAAATGCGTGAGGCCCTGGGTTTGATCCTCAGCACCACATAAGTAAATAAATAAAGATCAAAAAAAGAAAGCAAGCTACTAGGGACTGGGCTTATAATTCAACAACAGAGTATTTTGGATAAGGCCCTGGGTTAGGTCCTAACATCACAAAATAAAAAATGGGAGAGCTAGGTGTGGTAATCTGTAACATGTAGTCCCATCTACCTGGGAGGTTGAGGCAGGAAGATTGCTTGAGTCCAGGAGCTCAAAGCCAGCCTGTCCCCCCAAAAAAAGTCAGGGGAGGACTAAGGGTATATATTGCTCACTGGTATAATACTTGCCAACATGCAAGAGGCTCTGGCTTTAATTCCCAGCACTATAAAAAAACAAAACAACAACAACAAAAATGTTCCCCCCAACCCACCAAAGAAATTAACTAGGTAGGGTATGGTTCAGGGGTGGAGAACTTACTTAGTACGCACAAGGGTCTGGGTTCAGTGCCAGAACCAAAACTAAATAAATAAAACCAAACTGCCTTTGAATAAAAGGAAAAGCCAAGGGAAAAACTTACCTAAGATGCAAGAGTTTGGGAAAAGACAAAGACTGGGAACATCCAATTGTATGATCATATTGAGGTTCTGATCTAGGAAGCAAACACATACATTAATGATTTACTCACAACCTAAAAATTATAAAGTTTTCCCAATATTGTGCAATTTTCAGCGCCAAAACAATTTCAAGAGCTGAAATGCATCTGCCCTTATTCAATTAACTCCAATCAGAGGAAAGACAACTGATTAGAGGCTTTATCTTTTGATAAAAATTCTACTTAGTTCTTAAGAGGTATAACAAAATCTTTAACAGATAGGAGAAGATCCGAGATTTTAATCCAACCTCCAAGAAAATTCCTCAAATAATCCCAATCAGCCACACAAATCATTACCTTGGAGTAATCACAGGCAGAGGTGGCAATGAGAGGAGTTTCTTGAACTGATGTGTACTTATAACTTCCCCATCAAAGTTCACTTCCCACATCCTGGAGCCAGGACGAGCACAAAATATCAAAGGTTGCTGGCCCCCAGAACACCTTGCAGGGAAGAAACAAGCTCCATATTCTCCATCTCTTTCCTTGTTTCCAATTTTCCAAAACTTTTCTCTAATGACCAGAAAGGAAGAGACACTATGTTTACTTACAAAAAAGTTAAAGACAATGGCATTATGAATCAGCATGGCCATGATAATCCCACCCACAATGTTCTCTTTCTTCTTCATATTAGTATTATGCTGGAAAGAACAATATAATAGAAAGGTTAAAATAGAGCTCTGCACTATTTCTGTGACCGGAAGCAAACCTCTTCACATTAGTACTCAGTTTATTATCCATAGAATGAGAGATCAGAATTGATGGAAAAACCTGTTTCAATCGAAAAGGTGAGTGCCACCAAACCATTTYATCATACATGCTTGAACCCTAAAGTCCTTGTGCAATACAATGCTCTCTGGACATCCCATGGAAGCCATGACTCTACCTTTCCACCTCTATCTCTAAGATACGTCATCACCACAAACATCCAATAAACTCATCTTTCCCCAAAATGCTACGTCCCTCTGAAACATATCTTGGAACATTCTGTCCACTTAGGATTACATGATTTAAATACATCAAAGTATTTGAGCTGGGTGCAGTGGTGCATAGCTGTAATCCCAGAGACTTGGGAGGCTAAGGCATGAGGATTGCAAGTTTGAGATACACCTCAGCAACTCAGCAAGGTCTTAAGGACTTAGCAAACTTCTGTCTAAAAATAAAACATAAAAGGGCTGGGGTTGTGGCTCAGTGGTAGAGCATTTGCCTAGCATGTTTGAAGTACTGGGTTTGATTCTCAGCACCGCATATAAATAAATGAATAAAATAAAGGTTCATCAACATTTAAAAAAATATTTAAAAAAAACATAAAAAAAGGGCTGGGCTTCTGCCAGAAAACTCATTAAAAACATTCAGTGTTAATTAATACATAATATCTATATACACACACACAAAAAAAGAGTAAATGTGTCCTTTTTGCAGTCTAAAAAAACAAAAAAAAAAAAAGGGCTGGGGATGGGACTTAGTGGTTGAACAACTCTGGGTTGAAACCCAAGTACCAAAAAAATTAAATCAAATAAAAAGTTCAAAGTCCACCTGGGCAACTAAATAAGACTGGAAAACTTAGTGAGATCTTGTCTCAAAATAAAAATAAAAATTTTTTAAAGGGTAGAGTGCTTGCCTAGCATATGCAAGGCTTTGGGTCCGACCCCCAGTACTGCAAGGGAAAAAAAAAAAAAAAGTGAGTACACTGCCTAGAAACATGGAAGGTGATAAATGATGAGTTTACCTTTTCCTAAAACTTCCTGTTACTTACTCTTCATGACTTAGTTTCAGCAGTCTTCCTCTGAGAAACTTTCTTGACTCTCATATGCTGAATTACATGCTTCCTATACTATGCTTTCATAGTACTGACCACATTATAAGTGGCAACTATTTCTATTTGAATAGATTATTATGTTTTGGGACAAAAGGCATTTCTTATTTCTTTTTATTTTTAATTTAGAAATTTAATTCCTTTATTGGCATTGCTATGCTTTTATTTTTAATTTTAATTTGTTCTTTTTAGATATACACAATAGTGGAGTATATTTCATATATTATACATAAATGGAGTATAACTTATCCTAATTAGGATCCCATTCTTACGGTTTTCATGATGTGAAGTTTCACTAATGGTGTATTCACATACGAACAAAGGAAAATTATGTCCAATTCATTCTGCTGTTTTTTCTACTCCCATCTCTCTTCCCTTCCTTCCATTCCCCTTTGTCTAATCCAATGAACTACTATTCTTCCCTACTTCCCCTTGTTGTGTGTTAACTTCTGCATATGAGACAGAACATTTGGCATTTTGTATTTTGGGACTGGCTTATTTCACTTAGAATGATAAGTTCTCCAGATCCAGAAAATTATTCTTTTTAAAATTTATTATAGAAAAATTTACTGACAAAAGTCATAAAATCATTCTTTTTATGGCTGAGTAATATTCCACTTTGTTTATATACCACAATTTCTTTATCTATTCATCTATTAAAGGACACCTAGGTTAGTTGCTTAACTTAGTTGTTGTGAATTGAGCTCCTATAAACATTGATATGGCTGTCTCACTATAGTATGCTGATTTTAAGTCTGGGGTATATATCAAGGAGTGTCTTATTATACCTTCTTAGTTGAATACGAAATATATAGCAGTGTCTGATCCACAGAAATCACTCAGTACACTGCAAATATCTCTTATTGAGTAATGATCTATTTATACTCTGGCATACATTTACTATATTACCTCCAATAATTCAATAAAAATTCCTGTACTTATTTGCACCATGCATAAAATATGTTTTACTATAAAATCATGGATGTGAAAGTACTTTGATATGGACTTAGGGTAATAAAAAAAATTTGGTTTTATTTCCTAAATTCCTTATTTGGGAAATAAGATATATTTCTTGCTTGATATTTTATGTCTAATACAGTGCTAAAGACCCAGAGTACAGCATGAGGTTAATTAATACTTTCATATCCTTAAAACTATCTCTACATTATGGATATGGAAACTGGCAAGATTTAAATAGGGGCAGAACAGGGAGTTGATATCATATTGTCAGGTTCCATTATCCAATGTTCTCTCTCCTCTATCATTGTTCTTTATTTTTGTTTGTTCTTTTCCTTCTCAGATTCACCTGGTTCAACAGCTGACAGGAGAAGCAAATTCATAACTATCACTTTTGTTAATCATTAAGAGTCCCAGTTATTGTTTTCTTTTTAAATACTGTTTGTTGAATGGGGACATACATTGAAACTAAAAAAAAATTAACATAAATGAATTTTTAAATTATTTTACTATTCATATCCTTGAAAACAGAATTCTACCTAATAGAAAGGGGCATACCTAAGGCATGTTACTTCTGCAGCAAGTTCTACATTACTGCAACTCAACTCAAACTTATCACTCTTTGAAATGAGGGGGGTTCATAATACAATCTCATTTTTGTGTGTGCCAAATTTTTCTATAATAAATTTTAAAAAGAATAAATGATTCTAACAAGTATGGTAGCAAGCAAACCAACCAGCCAGGGCCAGTTGGGGGTGGTGGTGGTACTGGCCAGTGAAAATCTCCCTGCWGTAAAAACAGCTGAGAAACTTTGTATAATGATACATAATACTCACTTCCAGCTATTTCTCATTCTTTTGTGATATTTCATGACTACCTCTAATACACTCCTTTCCATTCATCATACATTTTATCCACCTTTGAAATATTGGTGAAATAATTGCTGAATTCATAACGCTCTTAATTCTTCAGCCAATTTTACTCTGAAGTAAAATGTTATTAAATACACAGCAAATTTTAAAAACAGCAACAACAATCAGGGAAGTCTTCCTGATTCTCCTATTGAACAAGACTTTAGCCTTTAGCCTTTTGCATCCTTTAACTCAACGTTCTATAAGATTATGCTTCATGGTTGGGTTCTTTAAATACTTGTCTTGATCACCCATCACATTTCTCGCTCTCCTCCACCTCCTCTCTACTTGCCAACATTAGCTTGTATTCAAACAGTTCCTTATTAATATCTGTATAATTCATTGAGTGGTTTGTGCTAGATGACTTCTGAGACTCTCCTAAATTTCTATCTATCTGATGACTCATGGGGTTGGTCAACATACCTCTCAGTGTCACACAAGAAAGATCGAGTAAGTGAAGATATAAGCAGTCTTCCATCCAAATAATCTAACTGCACAACACAAGAGTCAACTGTTGTTATTGTCTGAACAGGAAACATCACAAAGGCAGCAGATGCCTAAAAGGGACATCAGAAGAAAATAAAGTATTTCATTATAACATTTACATAGAATCTCCTCTTCTTTAAATAAAATCTCCTCCTCTTTTAAATAAAAATGACATGGATAACAAAATAAAATTTTTAAATAGGCAAAATTTTAATTTGCCTAAASGGATATGAAAATTTAACTCTCAAAAAATTTATGAAATAATTTGATACAAACTTAAGGCTTAATCCTTAAAGCTCTGTTTGTGATTATGTAACCTTAGAGGTTGGAATAAAAAAGTTGAAGCAAGTTTTGAAACATGTGAAAGAATTTTTCATCTATAGATATATTTCTCCCTTTGGGAAAAAGACAAATTAAGTCTACACTATGTAAAGGGTTTTAACTGGACTTTGAATCAAATGATAATTTAGGGGCTGATGATGTAGSTAGGTGGTAGAGCACTTGCCTACCATTCATAAGGCCAGGGATTCAATCCCCAGTACCAACCTTTGATGGGGCATGATGATCAAGCCAGAATATTCTGATGTGTTTATTTAAAACAGAATAATTTAGTCAACTGTAGTTAGATGTCTCCTTTTCTGTCAAAAATTCTCCTTGAAAATGAATCACAAGAGAAACTTTCCCCACATGATCACCTACAAAAACTCTAAGAACAGCTGTATCCCAGCTGTGATATAAAGGCCTTGGAGAAGCAAAACAATGAGAAACTGATCTGCAGTGTCTCAAAATCAGACTGGAGCATTCTGTTAGAGTAACCTGAGTCCCAACCTTTTTTTTTTTTTTTTTTTCCTGAGTCCCATCCTTTTAAGCAATAAGTGTGGCAGGAAGCCTGGGGACCTACACATCTGAGCATAAGTCCCTTTATGATTCCATTCACATTAAGTTACATTTATCCTGAGACAAAATATTCCTATACCCATGAGTTTGGTCTACACAGGGGCCAGGAAAACAGGAGACTGAACAATTGGTGCCATTTCTGTATTTGCCATTTTATTAATAACTAGTAAATAGACATCTTTTCTTTCTCAAAGGCCTCGTATTAAAGAATACTATTATTATTAATATTATTATTTAAATGCACCAGACAGGTGAGTTAGGAAATACAGCAATAGACAATGTGCAAATTATTGAAGTCAGTTCACAAGAGCCACTCTACAACAGTATCAAACGAAAACAGTCTGTCATATGTACTGCCATATGTACTACAAACAATTCTCAAAACCTCTTAGGTCTGTGCTTTAAACCTGTCCCCCCAGAAATACATTGAATAAAATTGTATCCTTTAACTCAATGTTCTATAAGATCACACTGAGTATCTCTAATCACAAACATAAAGAACTGGAGAGGTTCTCACCTTTGCTTGTTTAGATGTATTGAGTTTGATTGCAGAAACTTTCCCCACATGATCACCTACAAAAACTCTAAGAACAGCTGTGTCCCAACAGAGAGCTGTAACTTTTCGGCCTTTGTGTTCTGAAGACACGTATATTCGTTCTGGTTTCCCTCGACGCTCTTGATTTAATTCCCAAACAACTACAAGACCTTGACTGCAAGAATTGAGTGACAGAAGCAAATTTTTGGCAGTGTTGAAAAAGATAAAAATTTAACTACATTGTATCATCAATTATATTAAATACACAAACAAACACTTGCTCTTCAGAAAAAAAAAAAAGGAAGTAAAGGGCAGAGGGAGGGTAGAGAAACAGGAAATGCTGGGAATGATATCGGCAAATTATATTGTTATATTATATGCATGTACAAATATGTAACAACAATCCTACCATTATGTACAATTATAATGCACAAATAAAAATATGGAAAAAAAGAAAAAGAAAAAAGGAAGTAAAGAGCCAAGTTATTCATTTCCTTGTTTTAGTTGCCAAACCAGCATAACAGAAGAACTTAAATGTTCTAAATTAAATGTGACCTTCCTCTTTTAGGACCTTTAAAATGTTGTTGACTCAAATTAGCATTTTTTATAAATCCTAGAGTGACTAATGGTCCATCTGGACAGGACTTTCAGTGTCAACACTGGGACAGTACTAGGCAAATTGAGATGGCTGGCCACCCTCAGTTTAAAATGCATTTGGAAGGAAGTAGCCAGACAATCTCATCGCCCTGCACCCAACACAAAAACAAAAAGGGAGGAATGTTGGGTGTGTGGGAGACTCCCCGCTGAATCCCTTACCCCTCCCCCTCCTCTCCTCCTTCAGCATCAAGCTGAAGAGCGCCAAATTCAAAGGTTTTCTCAACCAATCCCTGAAGGACACAGTGTCTGCTAGCTGTTCCTGAGTCACCCTGCCAATCAGCACCCGACACATCCCCTATACAACCCTTCTTAAGCAGAAGCTTGTAAGCACACACTCTCTGCCCTCTGCCTTCTTTTTCTCTGCTCTCTTCCTCTTCTTTCTCTCCTCTTTCCTCTCTGATCATCTTTCTCACTGCCCTCCTCCTCTCCTCTCTCTGCTCTCTGCCTCTCCTTTTCTTCCCCTTCAGGTAGCTCCCCGATACAATCTCTTGGTTGAAAATAAAATAAAATGAAATGCATTTGGAAAAGATCAGATAGTCTTAAAACAATTTTTCACCTGGTAGCTACAGCAACGTAATCATCATCATGTAAACAGCAAGCAACCTGAGATATTGCACCTTCCTAGGACACAAAAGGAAAAATAAATGTTTAAGTACCAAGTTTTCATCCTTCTTTTATTCTAAATGATTAATCATATTGGAGAAATTCACATTTACAAAAGATACTCTTAATTGTATGTGACAGGCTACCCTTGGTCTTACCCGGTGTGAAAGAAATAGCCTGTGCTTCCAGCCTTCTTTCTGAATGAGATTGAGTCCTCCTCCTGAGCTGCCCAAAGCCAACCATTTCCGAGACACAGCTATGCTTGTGCACTAAAATCATGTGAAGAGACATGTATGAGATACTCATAGCCACTTAACCAAATAAACTACAGACTGGAAATAAATAATGAGGATTTCTGTTCAGGTTCCTCCCCTCAGTCCACCCTCTGACCAGATGGATACAACATAATGGCACTCACTCTCTAATTCTAGAATACTGAAAAATATCAAACAAAGAACATTTATATATCAAAAAGGCTGAATAGSCTCAATTGTATAAATGAGTAATCTTTTTTGGGCAAAAGCCAGTTATTAGACCATTCGTATTTTGTGTAACTTGGCTAAGGTCATTCCAATGCTGACTGCAATGGGGGAAGACAAAGTAAGTTACCAGGGGATAAAGCAATTTGCTCCCTTAAATAACTTCTAGTCTGCATAATCATCACAAAACACCACAGTCCTTAGAGCAAGTGAGACTCTGGAGGGCACAGATTCAGGTCCCGTACTACCATGTCTCCCCAACCTATCAGTCTGCTGATTTCTCTCTTGTCCTGCCAAACAAAGCAGTGGCCATGCTATGCCCAATAATCTGTGGCCAATTATTGGTTTGCTGACTAAGAGACATTACCAACCTTCTTCAACTTTGTTGCTTTTCACCACAGAAGCTGAAAAACCTAAATATTCACTTTCCCATTTTCCCTTGTTGCCAGAGGTAACCATGTAGCTCAATTCTAGCTAAAAAGGCTAAGATTGCTTTACCTTCCCAGAGGAAAGGCAGAGTTTCAAGAAAACAAACCCTCTGCCCTTGGCCCCCTTATTCTTGCTTGAGATACAATAGGGACATTAAAACTGGAGGCAGGATATGTATCTTGCAACTATGAATAAAAGCCAACATATAGATGATGACAAGAGAGAGAAAGATGGAGAGCCTAAGTCCTCAGTGACATTGTTGGGCCACTATACAAAACCCAGCACCACCAACCTCCAATGAGATGAAAAACATCTTAACTGTGTAAGTCACTGAGGTAAGGTATTCTGTAACTTGCAGCTAAAAAATATTTCTAACTGATATCACCTCTCCCAATTGTTGCTCATATTGCTTTGCCTATTGTTTCCTATTTTCCCTCTCCTCAGAGGCTAAAATGTACTTTGGAACAGTAGCAAAAGTGCAAAATCAAGTTATTTTGGAATTAGTTATGATACTTTGTTATTTATCAGATCATCCTGCCTTTAATCAAAAAAATTCAGATTACGGGAACTATACACTTCCCACACAGCTAATTTTTACTCTGCTCCCTAACCAGTGGTTATATCAAATTTCTTGTTTTGGAATAAGGCAGTGGTTCATGTTGTTCAAAATGTAATGTGGGGGCATACTCATTTATACTATTAATTTTAATAACATGCTTTACTTTCTGAGAGAAGAAAGCAAGATTACTGAGAAGGAAAAAATTATTAGAACCATGGTTTCTAGAGGTGGGGAAGAATTCAAAGGGTAGTTTAAAAAATATATCACATAAGAGCTATAATGCCAGGCATGGTGACACACACCTGTAATTCCAGGATCTTGGAAGGCTGAGGCAGGAGGATCTCTCAAGTTCCAGCCAGCCTGGGCAGTTTAGCAAGACCCTATTTCACAATAAAATAAAAAGGACTAGGGGTATGGCTCAATCATAAAGGACCACTGAGTTCCATCCCTAGAAGAAAGAAAGAGAGGGAGGAAGGGCTAATGACTATGCTACTCCTACGTAAGGTATCATGAGGACAGGTAAGAACACAAAAGATTCCACAAAACAGAACTAGAGAGCAGGGGGAAATATAATAGAGCACATAAAAACATGAATATGAAAATGAAACTAACACAAGGATCARGAAATTCACCTTTAAACGACTGGAGTCCAAACGCAAGGCTGAGAGTAATGGATCCAGTGACTCAAACTCTGCAAGAACATGGCTGTAGGACTCTGGTATCACTGGCACAAAAGTCATTTAGTCAAAAAGGTGAAACTTGTTCAGGCACAGTATTCCTTGCCTGAAAAAAATCTGCAAAAATAGAATTTAAGATCACCATTATTTCAAGATGCATTAAAGAAATGTGTGGGGAACATAAGGAAAACATGAGACAGAACAACTAATTCTACTTTGAACATGCTGGTAAAAAAACAAAAACAAAAGCAAAATCATGTCTAGATTTCAAGGCCCTCCAGCAACCTATCCCACTGCATTATCTTATAGTGTAAGTAGGTAAAATTGATATAGTAGGGCTTAAAAGAAAAATTGGTCAAGTTCCTTGAAGTAAAACAGCAACCCCACTATACTTGAGTGGTTAATCTTTAGGAGTCTCTCATTTAAATGCAATATTCTGTTGATAAGGCCTCAAATACTAAAGTCTTGTCAGCAAGCATTAAACTTATCAACCAAAATTTTAACAGTGCTTAATTAAGGCCTCTAGATCTCTCCATTGAACCCAGCAGGGGCCTGATATGTATGTTGGTTGAATGAAGTGAGAAGTAAGGTACAGGGAATTGGAATACAAAGAATAAAAGCTTGAATAAAAAAAACTAGATAGGAATTAACAGGGATAAGAATATTAGGTAGCAAAAGTCAAATGCCCAATGAGAACTTTGTAAACTAACACAGAGTTGCCTATCTGTTCAACTAGTCTCAGTAACTATTCTCAGGTACACATTTATGTGTGTGTGTGTGTGTGTGTGTGTGTGTGAGAGAGAGAGAGAGAGAGAGAGAGAGAGAGAGAGAGAAATGGCACCAATTTCCAGGCAAAAAGAAAACTGTACCATTACACACATACTACAGTCTTATTTTCTGGTAGTAATTTTGTCTCATACAATTCAACATGTACAAGAAAAATGCTTAAAAACAACCAACCAAAAATTTAGTAGAGCTATACTCAAAATACTTGAGAACTCCTGATCTAAAAAGATTCTTCTCTCATTTTTTTCACTCATTCATTTTATTGTGTAGCTAATACAACATCAGGCACAGTGGTGGGAACAAAGTAAGTAAAACAATTCCAGAAATCAATTTACAATCAAACAGGGAGAAAAACACAAATACCACATACAGATATAAGAGAAACATAAACAAAGTGCTTTTTTAGAACTTAAGGATTAGAGGGATCACACTGAATTAAAGGGAACCACAGATAACTTCCTAAGGGAAGTAGCACCAGCACCAGGTAGGTCTTCTCGGAAAGAAAGGGAAAGGGTAGTAAATAGTGCAACAATAAGCAATGATATAGAGATGGAAAAATGAAAATATATTTGAAGAACACATATTCAGTCTTTGGTTGAAACACTGAATGGAATAATGAAAGATAAAGCTGGGTCCTCTATAATGGGATCAGTAGAGGAGATCTCATCTCTATTTCTTACTCCAGTTCATCTCCCTGTTACTTCTCTCCTATTCTCCAACTATACTGAACTATGTGTGGTCCTCTTTCAATCTATAAGTTTGTTGTGCCTCCATGATTTAAAATATGCAGTTCAGGGGCTGGGATCGTGCCTCAGTGGTAGAGTGCTTGCCTGGCATGTGTGAGGCCCTGGGTTTGAATCTCAGCACCGCTTATAAATAAAATAAAGGCCCATCAATAACTAAAATATATTAAAAAAATAAAATAAAAATAAATAAAATAAAATATGCAGTTCATAAACTCTTATCCCATCTAACAAAACCTTATCTTTCTCCAAAACTGAGTTTAAATGTCACTTCTGTGAAGTCTGTCACAGCTCTATCCTAACAATCAAAAAAATTAAGCCCATAGATGAGGGTGAGAAATGCTTACCAAAATCAATCAGTAAAACAAATTCTTAAAAGGTTGGCTTGTTCAAAGCTCACAGGGCTAATAAAAGGTAGAGTTGAGCCGAGAATACACATCTGATAAGTCCAGATCTAATCATCTTCCCATTTCCCCGATTTCAATGGTAATGTGAAAGAGTCGTATTCAGGGTTTGCTGTTCACACATCAAATACAAATCACAGCGTTCTCTTGGCCCACTAGTTGTATGGAACGAAAGGGCTGTGAAAGAGACAAGGAAAGGAACAAAAATTAAAGAAATAATGCGAAAAGGAAGTAACAGATTTTATTTCCATGAATAATAATCAGAGAATTCTCACCTAGAGAAATTGCAACAAATTTTGTCACTGCATTCATTCATTCAACATTCTGAGTATCTACTACGTTCTCAGCCTTCACGCACCGCTGGAGATACTAGGATAAAAATACACAGTCCTCGACCTCAATAAATTCCTCATCTAGTGGAACCACTACCTTTTTAACAGCGATAACATTAATACTGTATTACGCCCTCTTGAGTTCCGGTAACCAAGTTTTCAAAGCCAGGCTCACAGACCAGGAGCCCAAAAGTCCCAGCCCTGCCACACCACATCCCGGTCAGCAGCTCCCAATTTTCAGAGGTCCGGACCTTCTGGGCTCCGCACCCAGCCACTCACCGTGCACTGACAGCGGAACTTGAACTTGTCTCTCCCTTCTCGCTCCTCCCCGGCCTGACTTACGTCACCCAGGAGCGCCGGGGACGCGGGGATAACGCAATTAACGGCACTTCCTTGTCACGTGACGATTAMGCCCCTCCTTGCGCGTGGTCCCACCCCCTCAGGCCGCGGTTGCAATTACGCTCTCTACCACCTGCAGTCGGTGGGTCGCCGCAAGCGGAAGACACGCCGTTAACCGGGATCGGAGGAGCCCTAAGCCAAATGGGTGTGACAGATAGGATTCCGGAGATCTTCACCGCACGAAACCGGAGAGAGGAAACGAAACAGGCGGGAACCGGTGGGGGAGGGAGGGAACTAACGGAAGGTGTCATGGCGGCCGCGCTCTGGGGTCACGTGTCCCGCAGGCCCGCCTTTGTACTTCCGGTCACGTGCCCTCAGAGACCTCGCAGCCAGCGATGGAGGCGAGACCCCCCAGTAACAGAGGCGGTGGCGACGGCTGCGGCCACTGGGTTTCAGCCGCTTCCCAGCAGCAGCTTTAAGCTCGACGGAAGTCGACCCGATCCAACTCACTCACTCACTCCTAGCCGGAGGCTGTAGCTTCCACCTGGTAAGTTTAGACCAAGAATGCGGGCAGGTGGGCGGTGAGTAGCTGACAGGCCCGGGGGTCGCGGGACGGCGCGTATTCTGCACCTTTTCCCAGCGTCGCTTTTGCCGTCTCCACACCGTCTAAGATTGCCGCCTCCTTTGCCCTTATTATCCCGAAGTAGGAAAGAGGCGACCCGACCCTTAATCTACTTGTCTAAAGGAGTCCTGCCCTTCCACGGAGCAGGGACTCCATCCAACCCCGGGATCTGACTGACTTCATGAGAATGAAGGAAGTGGAGGCCCCTCCCGGGCAAAGAGGTCCTTCCCGTTAGGAAACGTACTGTAGAGAGTCTTTCGGTTTCAGTAAGGAAGGCTCTCACCTTGGTGGCCGAATGAGCTCGTGCTTCCACCTGTCAGTCCTGCAGCCTTTAAAATTTTTATTTACACGTGAGCCAACCTACACACTTCCAGTTTTAGTCATTCCCGATGTGATTGTCATGTAATGAAAAAAAATGGAAATATATAATTATTTCACAAATTTTCCAATGTTATCAGGCTAAATTGAGTAAGGTGGCTTATCTGATTGGCTTATGTATTTATTGATTGATTGATTGTGGTGCTGTGGATTAACTCAGGAACGCGCTACCACTACTGAGCTACATCCCCAGCCCCCTTTATTTTTTGAGACAGGGTCTTGCTGAGTTGCCAAAGCTGGCCAGGAATTTGGCGATCCTCCTTCCCCAGCCACTGAGTCGCTGGGATTGCAAGACCACACCCAGCTGATTGACTTTTTTTGTTGTTGTTTTTGTTACTGAGGAATGAACCCGGGGCACTTTACCATCCCTAGCCCTTTTTTTCCCCCCCGCTTATATGGAGTCTCTCTAAGTTGCTTAGAGCTTTGCTAAATTGCCAAGGCTAGCTTCCAATTTGTGATCCTCCTTCCTCAACCTCTCAAACTGCTGGGATTATAGGCATACACCATCATACTTGGCCAGCTGATTGAGTCTTAAATGCCCTTTTTAACATCTGTAAAATAGGAGTGGAAAGAGGTAGGAAAATTTTTTATCTATCAGAAGATCCAATTTAAAACATGAAAATGCACTGGGGATGTAGCTCAGAGGTAGGACACTTGCCTATCATGTCAGAGGCCATGGGCTCAATCCCCAAAACAGCCAAAGAAACAACAAAAAAAGACCACCAAGAGTGGTTTAAGGGCTGGGGTTGTGGCTCAGTGGCAGAGTGCTTGCCTTACACGTGTGAGGCACTGGGTTCAATCCTCAACAAAACATGAAAATAAAGATTGTGGGGCTGGGGATGTGGCTCAAGCGGTAGCGCGCTCGCCTGGCATGCGTGCGGCCCGGGTTCGATCCTCAGCACCACATACCAACAAAGATGTTGTGTCCACCGAGAACTAAAAAATAAATATTAAAAAAAAAAAAAAAGATTGTGTACATCTACAACTAAAACAATGTTTTTTAAAAAATTGGTTTAAAATACACTTTGCAGTACTGGCTCCATACAACCCAATATTCTCTCATTATAYAGAGTTGTGATTTTTAAACTTTTTAAAGGAATTAAACAATTTCTCCCCGTGAACTCTTATCTGGAATGCCAGTATGTAAAGCAGCATGCTTTGGTGGAAGGCTATACCAACTTAACCTCCCCTTTCCTAGAGGCTAATCTTTGGTTATTAAGACAAAGTTGCCAATCCTAAAATTTTTAACAGCTAAAACCATAGCTGTGAAGGTGGAGAAGTCGTAACAGCAGGGAAAATAACCTCTAGGAGCAGGCCTAAGGTTTACAGAAGGACTGGGCTCTAGGGAGAACTTAGAACCTATAAGTAGTTTTAAATCCTTAATTCTTAAAGGGGGAGATGGTCTGCTGCCTTTACCCAATTGACCTTTAGCAGCATGACACAATGATAGATTTGAGTCTCTCTTAAGTGATGTTAAATGCACATTGCAGTGCAAATGTGTAAAAATAATTAAAGTGAATGCTGAGAGGGCTCTTTAATAGAACAGATTGATACAGTCAGAGGGAGAAAAATCAGTTAAAAGCAGAGGCAAATATCTGACTTCAGTAGGTTGTGAATGCTTCATWTGTGTACTGCTCACAAGGCTTTTATCTTCTCCCTGCTCATATATTATTTTAAAGCCTGTTTGTGTGTGTGTCTGTGTGTATGTGTTTCTCTTGCCATCAGAATGTTGTATGGTGTATTTGAGATCCCTTAACCCTTTGACCACTGTTCCTACCTTATGGATATTGCTGTTAGAGATGTCACTGTGCTCTTCCCGCTTTCTTTCCTCCTACCTTTAATGTAGCTGTGTCAGCCATTGATATAATATTCCCTCTTTTCCCCACTTTGATTACCAGATGATTATTCTTCACTTTTGGTATTCTTGTCAGTTTTTGTTTTGTTTTGGTTTTGGTTTTTTGCAGTGTTTACTAGTGGTCATCAGCCCATTTTCCTCTATTATGCGTCTCTCACATATTCCTCTTGACTGTCCCTGCACTGCTGTAAAGTGAAAAGGTACTTGGCCCTAAAATTGCCACATTAGTATTCTCCTTAATATCATACTTGTTGGGAAAATATCCTTAAAGCAATACATTTTGGTTACTTTTGACATACTTATAAGTTGTTATTCCCTGTATTGTTGAATTATTAAAACATTTTTTGATTGTTGATACAAATAGTATTCCAGATCTCCTGTCTTTTATGTAGATAAAGCAGCTTTCTCTGGCAATTCTCCTATCTGAATGGATAAGGGTGATAGGAGTTTATATTTTACGTGTTGTCTTTTTTCTCCTCCATTTATCTCTGCACTTTTAAAAAGTGTATGTAGGTGATGGAAATGCACAGATGCAGTAATTAAAAGATTTCTGCTCAACCATTTTAAATTCTTGCTATCCCTGTTTCCTTAGAGGGCAGGATCCAGTTGATGGAATCTGTGTGAGAAATGGTGCTCTGATATGTGAATTGAGGGCTCTAGTGCTTCCTGGAGTTGAGCCTAGGATTTATGTGCAAAGATTTCTTGTGTCTTGCTGAGACTGGATTCTTTTAAGAACAAAGATCTTATAGAGATATCACAGATATTTGTTGGATTCTTCCTAGGAGTCAAATACTAGGCTGCTTGGTGCTATACTATGAACACAAGTGGCCTCTGCCTTCCTTTATTAAGTTTGCAGTTTGTCGAATTTGAAGAATTTAAAGAATTACAGAAAAAAGAATTACAGGGACTGAGGCTGTAGCTCAGTGGTAGATGGCTTACCTAGTATGCATTAGGCCCCTAGTTTGACTTCCAACATCAGGAAGAAAAAAATGTAGTAAGTGCTATGGGGAAATAGCAAATGTTAGCTAATAATTTGGGGGTTTGTTGGTGTTTGGTTTTGGTTTTGGTGGTGCTGGGGGTTCAATCCAGGGTTCAATCCGAGCCCAACATATGCTAGGCAAAAGCTATGATTTTGAAGTTTAGAGTACTAGACTGAAAAATATTCGTAAAAGTTAGCCAGTTGATGGAAAAATGTAGCTTCAGGCAAATAAATTTTTAACTGCATATCAATACTTTTTTGAGAAGGTCTTGGTATAAAAAAAGTTATGATAGGGCTGGGGTTGTGGCTCAGCAGTGAAGTATTTGCCTAGCAAATTCAAGGCCCTGGGTTCGAGCCTCAGCACCACATAAAAATAAACAAAATAAAACTATTGTGTCCAACTAAAAAATAAATATGAAAAAAAAAGTTACGACAGTATTATCACAAAGTAATCTTTTAAGTAAAGCTAGATCTTCATTGACCGGACTTGTTTAAATATAGCCTACAGCAATATTTCTCATAAACAGAATATTTTGTGGCTCTTATTGAGTTCTACTGGGAAGACCTGTTTGCCTCCCAAGGAAACTCCCTCAAGAAAAATCCGAAAATCACTGAAGCCATTTAGAATAACCTCAGAGGTTCATTCTATTAACCCTCCTAAAATTGGTACATTCGTTCTTGAACAGTTAACAGAAACACAACAGATGATCAGGGAAACTTGCCAAGCAAATTAACTGAGACAATTGACCATTGTGCCCAGATTCAATAATTTGTCTCTGATTTTTTTTTTTTTTTTTTTTAAGGTCCCACCTTTTTTTTTTTTTTTTTTCCTGGTGGTGGTGCTGGGCATTGGAACCCAGGGCTTCATGCATGCCGGGCACACACAGTCTACAAATTAGCTGCATTCCCAGCCCTCCCCCAAGTGAATTTTAATAGGTTTCACATGTTATGTTATATAAGAGGTTATGTTTTTCCTGGTTAATTTAAAGTAGCTGATTCAAAATCAATTTATACAGTCCCATGAATTCTTCACTTTACAGTTTCTCTGTCTTCACCTACTTACTTTCTCATCTTCTCAACTTGG